AGTCGTTGTCGCAGTCTAAAACGCTTTGAAGTCGTTCTCACAAGGATGAGTGTGCGGACCGGAGTTATCCATGTGGCAGTCTGTTTTGTTTATATCTTGACTACGGTTCACACTGGTGAGTTGAAATTGAAGGCATTGAAACCACGTGCAGTGAAATCAATTTACAAAACTAAATTGTTAAGTTGTAAGATGACTTTCATGAAAAATGAAGTTATTCTTCTCTAAATTTGGATCTTTGTAGTATTTTCACGCTTGACGTCGCGCTATGGCGTATTTTCTTCTCTAACTGATAACGACAGCCTCTTCGTTTTCTCTCGTTTTTACTTGTCTTGCTATTGCTATGTTCACCTACTAGGTACCTCCCGAATTTTGTTTTCAAATCTAAGCTTTCCTCTTCGGAACGTGTCCCCCATTTCATGAATCAAAGTACAATTATGATAAATTCAAGGCTTTCAATTTGGCGGTTTTTCAGTGATGCGTAAATATTGCACCCTTTGACTTACGAAAGTTTCAAGTCCATATTTACTATTTTAAAAATCAGACCCTGTTGGATACTTTGGAGTTTTGCTTGTATTTTCTCTTTTTGTTGTACTTAAATTTCTACTTAAATCGAAATGAGATTATTTCTAATTTTGGTCAGTCTAGAACCTCCGTCAGTTCGTTGTTGTGGGTGACAAAGTCCTTACTATCAACAATGCTAACAGATACAAATTATTACTATGTGGGCGATAGCATCTACGCACGCTATTTCCATTCATAAGAGTATTCCATCATTCTTTTCGTAGGAGGTCAATACATTAGGTTTTCGGAAGGCTTAAGTTGTGTTTCTTGCAGCCTGAAATATTTACAACTCTTTCCATCGATGATTCTCGTCTTCAATAGGTTTGTTGTACAGAGTTCACAATGGAAGTGAGGAAATGAAAGAGATTGTGTAAAATTGTAGCGCCATTTTCAAATATGTGTTCTGCTTGAAGTTCTTTTTGTCTTTTGGCGGCAACCTCTTTGAAATTGCTGAAATAGTTGATCAATCATGTGACTAATTTATCCGCGTTGTTATTTTCCGCAATATGGATCATTGTTTGGGATATTAGCGCGAAGGAGCATACGAGTTGCTTCGTGTGAGTTTCGATACTACGGAGATCAATATTCGCTTTGTTCCAGTATTGCTTCATGCGGCAACGAAAGGAAAGAGTTGGGTTTCACGTGGTTACATCTTTACCCTATCGCCGTCAGACATCAATATATTGGCGATTAGTCAGTTGCTCTGTCATATGGCAAGCGCGTGCGATTTATTGCATCAGCCATAGATCAACAGAAAATGCCTGCCAAGGCGGGTTCAAAGTCTTATTTGTAATTTCGATTTTTTTTGTAGTACTGGTACCTGCGGAGTTTTCATTGATTCACTGAGGCCTGAGACATGTTTGGAATGTTTGGTCGTTCTTGAAATTTCCTGAGAACGAGACATATTTTAAAAAATTTAAAAAGAAATATTTAACAGAAAATAGGCTTTGTGTTTTAAAAGCCATCCATTATGGGGGAGGGTCAACCACAGATTTGATTTAAGATCAACAGCTGAAAAGAATTCTTCCCTGTCGGTCAAAATTTACAAACGTTATTACTGCCATGTGATCCTCAAGATTTTATTGGCTAAGACACAACAAAACACTTAACCCTAATTGGCTTGTGTCCAGTACAATTGTTCAAATTGAAAGGAAAGAGCGGCTAAAGACAATTGTTCCCAAGCCACCTCATCTGCAATTGATATGCTAATATCATGAGTAATATCCATGCTTATTTGTTGTGCCATTTTCTTTCAGAGGGATATCTAATCCTTCAAGCTCATATCAATGTGGAACAGGACAGTTTACCTGTACAAATGAAAAGTGCATTCCTGCTCATTGGTAGTGTGATAGAGAAAATGACTGTGGGGACCATTCAGATGAGGATGGTTGTCGTAAGTACATGACAATTAGACAGAATTTCATTACCAGTGAACACATTTCATGTCTGAAAGCAGAAAACCTATGTCAGGAATAAATGTGGGAAACTTGAAATCTGATATCAGTGCAGACAACCATGACCAGTGTTCACAAAAACTTGCATTTATAGCTCCTGAAGTTTCAGTTTCTCAGAAGTTGTGTTGGACTGGTATGAAAAATAAACAGGCATATCTTGTTGTTGAAGTAATTGTTGCATTGGTGTCAATATAGCTGACCAAACATGCCAAGCAAATGAATTCCGCTGCAACAATGGACGATGCATCTCACAGTCATGGTATTGTGATCAAGCTGATGATTGTAAAGATGGATCTGATGAACACGGATGTGGTATGTTGACAGATGAACAATGGTTATTTAACCTTTCAATCTTCTGGTGGGATTTGACATTTAACTATTTTCTAACAATATCAAAAGGTAATGGATATGGACAAACGTATCAGTCAAAGAGTGTAACCTAGACCCAATGCAAAACACTTTCTCACAGAACATTTCAGGCACCACTACCCTCAAAGCAATTTGTTTCTTGTTGTGTAGTTCTGCTGTTGAAGGAGAAACCAACTGCTTTCAAGGCGAGATTAAATCAGCTAGTAATTTCTAAACTTGTTCTGACATTTACTTCTTTTTCAAGGTCACTAGCTTTCACATTGAATCTCATAATTGTCCTTAACTTTCATGACAGTTTACTGCATGAAAGTAAAATCAGATTCAGTCAGTCTGGTTAAAGAGTCAAATTAAATCCCCTGGTAACATTTTGTCATTTTGTGTCTACATAGGAGGTATTCACAATTGTCTGACAGCCGCCAATAAATTGGAAGAATCCATGTACTTGATTATCATTATTAGTAGTAGTAGTAGTAGTCATTGTTATCATTATTAATGGTGGTAGTAGTAGTATTGTTATTACTATTATTATTATTATAATTATCAGTTGTATATCTGAGCTTTGAACCAAAATTTTTTTTCTCAGAACAAAATGTGAATTGTAGTGCCCAAGAATTCAAATGTACAAATGGCAAATGCATCAGAAGTCACTGGAAGTGTGACAGACAAGATGACTGTGGTGATAACTCTGATGAGGATTCTTGTACTGATGGCTCAGGACGGGGTACATCTACATTTACTATCATTCAATATTAAAAGAATAAATTACAAAAAAACACAATCTGTAGAAAAAACAATATCAAAGTTTGTGGTGGCCCTGACCCTTATCCTTGCAAGCACTCATACTAAGTGAATTGAACTTAAAACTCTGTGTGGTCGTTTAATTGCTTTTTGGTTAATAACACAATATCCACTTACTGCAATTTTCAGTCATGCAATGAGTGATATTCTTTACTTAATAAGTCTATTTATCCTGAAAAAAAGGGGGAAAAATATATATTATCACAAAGGGGGGAGATATGCTTTTTAAGTACAATGGCAAACGCATAATTTAAAAGTAAATAATGAGTACTTTAAAATGGAGAATAAAGAATTTTGTGAATCGTAAGCATATAAAAACCATATAAAATAATGAATCTCTTGTCAGTTCAAATGCAAAGCTAATGAGAAGTATTGACCTAACTGTCCAAGCACTGAAAGTATTAAACCAATTATAAGCATGATTTGATGGTTTAGGTATTAAAGAGTGTAATTAATACTTAATCTTATATTCTAGTTAATGGAAGAGCCATTTTGTTGCAAGTATAGGATATTATCAAAAAACACAAGTTCTTTAGGTAACAATGTGTATCATAGACCCCATCTGATGGGTAACCAATGAGTCTAGTACACCTCTTGGACTGAGCAAGGCCTGGAAACTGGTTCATTTTACACACGTACCCTACATCAATGTTGTTTATATATGGATAATGTGAGGATGGGAAGTCCTATTAAAATATTAACTGTTAATGCTATCTCTATCCCTGCCTTTTGTTGTTGTTGTTGTTTTTTTATTGTAGTTTTAGTCAAACTCTTTTTTCTTCTCAAGTTCTCTTCTAAAGCATAATGCATTTGCTAAAATGTTATGATTTTCACTTTTCAGCACAACCAAGTTGTGGAAGTGGTGAATTTACATGCAACAATAGCCAATGTGTGCCTTGGTCATGGGTTTGTGATGATGATGATGACTGTGGTGACAACTCTGATGAAGAACCTCGCCACTGTTGTAAGAAATAGTTTGTTAACCCCTTAAACTTGAAATATGTAATTTCTTTGTCACAAGCGTGGATCAAAGATAATATCTTAACTCCCCATGCATCTTTATATTTTAATAGTGCTCCCAGTGGCCATCTGTGTTCCTTGTGGACTTCCTAATTTTACCTAGTAATGAGCATCAAAGGGTGAATTCCAAAGGTCTGGGGCTCAAATCCTTGTTTAGGACTAAAAAAAAAAACTCATAGCTATATATTTAACTAGTGATTAAAACACAGTTTAATTTTTTTTCTCTTAGCGGCCAAAACCTGCAGTGCTAGCCAGTTTACTTGTACTAATAAGCAATGTATTCCACTGCGATGGAAATGTGATGGTGATTCTGACTGCAGTGATGGTTTTGATGAAAGTGGATGTCCCACTAGGGCACCTCCATTTTGTTCAGAAAAAATGTTTCGCTGCGATGATGGAACCTGCATCCGCGGTCATTGGAAATGTGATGGAGAAAATGATTGTGTTGATGGATCAGATGAGAAAGGATGTGGCAAGTATCTGAAATAGCACTGCATTCATAAATGAGAAAATATATTACTTTATTTTAGTTTATTATGATTAAGTGAGAATCATCAATCATTAGTTAGAATGACTGCATTGGAGACTTAAAGATAGATAAAATTGTTAATTTGTGTATGTTTTGTTGTTTTAGCTTCTGCTGTTAACTGTACTATGGATCAGTTTTCTTGCAATGATGGAAGTAAATGCATTCCAAAAACTAAAAAGTGTGATGGAGTAGAGGACTGTCAGGATGGGTCTGATGAAAGTTCCAGTTTCTGTGGTTAGTTGTAGATTTGTTTCTGCCATGGATTTGTGATGTGTAGCTTGAATGACTAGTGTGAGTAAAACTGTTTTATAAATGGGGTTCATTTCATGTATACTGGGAGCAAGTACCTTTTTTTCATTGTTGCATAACTAGGTGTTGTTCACTATTTTAAAAAAGAGAGTTTCTAATTCACCTCCCAAGGTGTTCTGATTATACTCGGCAGAAGTGTTATTTTTAAAGGTAGCATAGAATGGAGATTATAGATTATAAGACATCTTTATTATAAATAAGATAATCAAAATACTCCATACTCCATAGTTCTCTCTTTTTCCTTTTCCTTTTTCTTTTTTTATTTTCTGAATTAATTTTTTGCTCTTACAATGTAAAATCAATAGTTACACCCTTCATGACAATAGTGAACAATCTGGGTTACCAAATAAATAAATGATGGAGTGAATGCTTTTTTGTCAACTAGTGGCTAACTGTACTGCTGATCAATTCAAGTGTGGAAGCACACCAAAGTGTATTGAAAAATCGAAACTCTGTGATCGAAATAGAGATTGTCCTGGCGGAGAGGATGAGCAGCAAAACTGTGGTATGTTTCATGTACTGGTCATGCTGGGTATTGGAAGTAGGAACTTTTTTCATTTAATAGATTGTCCCAATGAGCTCTTTTTCTGACTAGAGATAAAGTTAATGTTTTAATTTAAAATTTTTGTTTTGTCTCTTTTTTTAGATATCAATGAATGCATGGATCACAATGGTCACTGTCAACAAATATGTAATGATCTGAGCATTGGCTTTGAATGCTCCTGTCTTTCGGGCTATATACTTGCGGAAAACAAGAAAAGTTGTGATGGTACATTTTATTGAAATTTTTCATTTGATTTGTTAAAAGCCTTTCGACAGGTCATAGTCAGAAAACATGTTAAAGTTTCTATCTCCAGAAATAGTTTTACTCATTTTATTACCTTAGTTTTTACTACCACTTAAGAAATGCCACTTAACTCCAAACCATTAAAGTTAGACATTAAACATTAATTAAAGGCAGGAATTTCACCAAATGGTACATTCAGGAAATAATACAGTCAGACTGAGTCAAGTAAACTATGACAAACTACCATACCTTGTATTTAGAGAGTGATATCATTTGTGAGGTAGAAATATCATATCTTCAGTTTTCTGGTTCAACCAATTGTTACAATTTTAAGTGAGTTTTGTACTTCTTTTTGCCATGACTGGTTGGATGTCAACAGAATCAATTGAGTGAGGTTAATATTTCTTCATCTTTCAGATGTTGATGAATGGAAAGTGTTTGGAAAGTGCAGTCAAGATTGTCAGAACACCAAGGGAAGCTACAAATGTTCATGTAAACCAGGTTATCAATTGGAGCCTGACAAGAAGACATGTAGAGCAAAAGGTAATTTTTTACCTCTTGTGAATTTTCTAGATGTCAGTAGATGTTACCTCTGGTGAACTCTAAAATACTGAGTACAAGACTTACCGAAGTATTTATGGGTTTCAGATATGTTTATATTAAGTTTCCTTGTTGTTGCATTTTTTGGGGTAGTAAGAAAGAACTAATACATAAAAGCCTTTTGGAATTTTAAATGGTTGAATCGTATTTTGATCTGTTCCTGCATACAGGCAATACACCATACCTGTTGTATTCAACACAATTTGGTATTCACAAGATGCCTTTGGATAGAACCTCCAATGCTCAAACTGTAGTTGTGAAAAATCAGAAAGGAGTGGTAGCCATTGACTATGACTACTATAACAACTACGTGTACTGGACAGATGTCAGAGATGAGAGGATTTGTCGTGCTCAAATTCCCACCCATGGAGGAGATGCAGGTATTGGTAGTGATGAGATTGTCTAGTACCTCTCAGAGTGTCGTATTAACACTCTGATAACAACATTACAGATTAAGTCTTTTATTAAAGATACTCCAATTACTTGATGTGCAACAGAACAATAAACTCTTAAGTCAAAACATTCAAATTAGGTAACTGAACAAGTATTTAAGAGCCATCTGTCTCTCTTTACATTGTAAACTATCATTTTTCTTGGTTCCACAAGTTGCACCTCATTTCTATTCCACCATAAAATAACTTGTTATGTTAATTCTTTTATACTGATATATTTCTTTTATTTCAGCTGATTGTGAGGTTTTGGTGTCAAATACTCACACTCCTGATGGAATTGCTATTGACTGGGTTGGCAAAAAAATGTACTGGACTGACGGGCACTACAACAGAATTGAGGTGGCAGAACTTAATGGTTCTCATAGATTGACCCTTTTCGACTCTGGACTAGATGAACCAAGAGCCATTGTTGTGGACCCTCTTTCAAGGTTTGTTGATTATTTCTTTTAAGTTTTAAATATGTTTCATCATTAGATCTAATGGTGTAAAGTGCTGGATCAAGTATATTGAGACTCTGAACTACTTTACTTTGTGTATGGGGGCCACTAAGCTTAGCGTTACCAGCCAGTCCTGCTTGAGCTGGCCCTTTAAAAGGAGACCATTAAAGGATTTTAGTAGTTTAAAAGTCTCCTGAATGGAAGGTTTTGGTCAAGTTATTTTCTAAATGATTTATTACAAAGGATGTAAAATATTATTCCTTCAAACATTTTGTTTAAAGACAGTGCATGGATCCAGGAAAGTTTAGAGTGAGTGCATGGATCTCGTTAGTTAATTAAGAATAGTAAAGAAAATAAAGTTTCAGGAAAGTCCTTCAAGTTCTGCAAACCTCAATATCACACACCTAGAAAGGGATCAACAGGCAGGAGTAATTTAATTTGCATTTTATCAAAGTAAGTTCTGAAACACCAGTAGCCACAAACTTGAGCTTATTAGTCAACCAGTAAGGAGTGCTTGTTGCAGTGAGTGAGCTCCCTGTTTATTTTCTGTTAATTTGTAGACATCTATACTGGACTGACTGGGGAGACAACCCAAAGATTGAAAAGGCAGCTATGGATGGAGACCCAAAAACAAGACAAGTCATTATCTCTGAAGGGTTAGCTTGGCCTAATGGACTCGCAATTGATTACACCTTAAAAAGAATCTTTTGGGCTGATGCAAGGTAATACACAATTAAGGCATAAGATCAGTGAGTTATATATGTAGAAATATCTATGTTTTAGGATCAGCAATGCTTGCTGCGAATTGTCTAAATGCAATTAGTATCTGCCTTCTTCAATTTAGGCAGTTCGATCATTGGTTTGACACTGTGGTCACCAATTGAAGGATGCCTAAACATATTTTGGATAAGATGTCAGGATTTCAGAGTGATTTTGGCACAACTTCTAAACTGCAGAAAATATATGTCCAAGCTTTTATCTGTTTTGTAACAGGCCAGAGACAAAAAAAAACTACTTCCATATAAGGAAACAATTTTGATTTGCAAGCAATTTTATTTTCAGACTGAAGAAGATAGAATCCAGTAGGTATGATGGCTCTGACCGCCGTCTCATTGCCAGCGTCATACCACATCATCCATTTGGGTTGGGCGTGTTTGAGAACCAGTTGTACTATACAGATTGGTACAAGTTTAACAAGGGAATCAGAAAGCTAAACAAATTCACTGGATCTGATAAGCAAAAGATCAAACCCACACTGTGGTCCCACATGGATATCAATGTGTATCATCCTCTCCGTCAGCCTAATGGTAATGGTGTGAATATTATTACTTGATATATAATCTTCTCATAAGGGGAAGCAGGGATTAACTCTCATTGAAACTAAACGGGTATGCTCAAGGCTGTGCTCTGAGAAAAATTGAAGGGAGCCCAGTGCTCTGAAACTGGGAAATCCAGGGTGCCCAGCATATGCTTTTATAAGAAAAAAGCAGGTTCCTGAGTTGCCTAAGAGCAAAAGTAAGGTGCCAGGGGCCACCGGGTGCTACTAGGCCACAGCCCTGGGTATGCTGGCCAGAAAATTCAAATCCAAAAGGAGAAGGATTAAGGAACTGGCCAATATGGACTTAAAATACGAAGGAAAGTGAAAATTAATTGTTGAGTTGTCTTAATAGCCTAAGCTGGCTAAATAGCTCTGGTTTCTTTGCTTTCCTTTTTCATTGTGTGCAGAATCAGCTTCTGTTCATGACATCAAAAGATGATGGTCTGCACAAATAATTGAGCTTCTCCTTCTTATTCATATGGAAGTTACCCCCACAGGAAAATGATTTTTTTGTCTGAAGTATTCTTTTGAATAGGACTTTTTCCTTCAGCCCTTTCTGTCCTATGCTCTCTGAGTTTTTGTTGTGAGATCTGAATCCATATCAATGTGCTGGTTTCCATGACAGTTATTTGACAACAAAAGCATTCCAGTTTGGAAGGTATTAGTATAGTTGAATAAAATATTATTGAAAATTATTATGAGTAGAGTAAAATGCAGACTAATGTGGGAAAAATTGGGCACACCTTCTACAGGAACATGACCTTTTGGTTGTATGTTTCCATGTGCACTCATTTCACATTGGGTGATCATGGGCTAGCTTATATAGAGATTAATAATGGATGGTGATTTTGTGGTGTTTATTCAGTTACCAATCCCTGTGAGGTTGAGAATGGTGGATGCAGTCACCTGTGCCTGTTGGCAGCAGTTCATTTAAAAACTCATACATGCCGATGTCCTGATGGAATGAATATCTCTGCTAATGGCAGAAACTGCACTGGAAAGGAAACTCCATGGCATCCAACCCCTACAACCCCCACTTCTACACGTGAACCAACGAAAACCACTGCCCAAGTTGCTAAAACCACACAAAAAGCAATTTCAGCTAAAACCACACAAAAAGCAATTTCAGCTAAAACCACACAAAAAGCAATTTCAGCTAAAACCACACAAAAAGCAATTTCAGCTAAAACTACACAAAAAGCTCCTTCAGCTAGTACCAGATCTGTTACAAGAAAAGTGCCCTCTGAGTCACCATTGCCTGAACCCACAAAGAAAATAATGAAACCATCAACAAGATCAAATATAGCAGTGTCAAAACCCCCAAAGTCCCCTTTGACCAGTGCTGCAGATACATCCAGCACCCCAACTTTGTCTCCTACAAAGAGTTCTACAGCCACCCCAGGGGGACCAGTTGTGGCTTTCCAGAGAAAAGGTAAGGGTTCTTTATCAGAAACGTAAACTCTCGTGTCTTGTTTGATTCAATTTCTAGCAAATCATGGCATTGTTTGTGTAAACAGAATGTTCCAACAGAGGACATGATGAATATGCTAACACAGTCTTCAAAATCCACATGAGGAAATGTTGAGAATATTGAAATAATCTGCAGTAAAATTGCATTCCTATAAATGTCTTTTTAATGTTGCAGTTAAGTAGAAAAGCCAACCAAGTTCATTCCCCATAACCATCCCTTGTCACCACCCCTCCTCTGGTCCACCAGGTTTAGTTTCATTTAATTCACTTGAGGAAGGGAGGTATTTAAAGTTTAAAGCAATTTATACCTCATCTCTTAATAAAAATTGATAATCACACCTTTGTTTAGATGCAAGTATCAGAACGGCACACCCCTTAAACCATTTGTCTAGTTCTCTTCAATTTCTGCGGCTCACACATTGTGATACAGTCAAAACTGCAATTCATGCTAACTCAGCCCAGATTTTGCATTTGGTGTATTTCTGCTTAAATGAAATACCCAGGTTAGCAAGCACCACTATTAAGCAGCAGCAAGTGTCAATCTTGAAGCACTCTCAGTGTGATCAGTGGGATGTGGCTGACAGTTCACAAACCTGAGTAACCCTTAACTCAAATAACCAACATGGAACTAAATATCCTGACAATCTAGAAAATAAAGTGATGACTTAAAGCACACCTATTGGCTATATCACCAAATTCTTGTAATAAGAAATTTGAGACATTTATGAGAGAGAGAGTACTACTAAATGGTTAATTCAAGACCCTGACTGCTCGTTTATATCTATATATGAGCATAGGCAATGAATTTTTAACGTAATTTTAATTTTCAGACGATACAGAAGAAGCTCTCTCTGGTGGTGTCATAGCTGGTATAAGCATTGTTATGGTCTTAGTAATCATCCTTGGTATTGTTGCCATCTGGTACGTGAGGAGTCGTTCTAATTACAACCGTGGAAAAAGCATTAGCTACTACAAAGACATGTCCTCCAAGCCTCTGGAAGAAGATTTTGATGACGATGATGAGAGATGTAAGGTGTTTGATGACAGGGGATCGCGTGAAAGGGTTGAATTTGCCTGAAGTTTGTAAAATGTACTATTTATATCTTCTACTGCTTAGTATTTGTTGAATGCAAAGGTACAGTATGTGAGATCAGTTTTTTAGTCACTTAATGTTAACATCCTTTTGGTGTGTGTGCGAGTCTCTGACGTGTCTTTTATAAACCCTTCCCAATATCCTTGATGGCTCGTTACCATTTAACACTGCGCTGTTATACTGGGTTTGTCATCAGTGCAGTACACACAGTTAGCCTGTGCACAGCCGCCCCTTCCCTCCCCTGAAAAATGGCTCGTGCACGATATCCTTCCTTATGACATAAGTAATTGATAGTTCGTCTAAAGGACTTATTTTGAAAATAGATCAAAGGTCTAGTATGTTTCTTTTAGTCCATATTACTATATTTTCCTACCGAGATTGTAGTATATTTAAAGATAAAGAAAGATTCGTAAAGAGTTAATATTTCTTTAATCAGCAAAATATGGTGGCGAAGAGGTAGATTGAGAAACACGAGTATTTATTTCAACATATTTTGATCATCATGTGGTGATCAATATTTATATAAATGCTGTTAACATTAACCTACAACTTAACATGTGTTTTCAACCACCGTTCAACAAAAGTTAATAATAAGTCATTAAAAATAATTGCGACTAATAAACCTTAAGTCTTCGTAGCCTTAGATAAATAGAAATAGGTCGGAACTAGCCTGGTTTATCAGGTGCCACGAAAAAAAAGAAAAAGAGAACCAAAAATACCTGACGTGTTTGCCATAAGCCGCAGTTACTGGCTTTAGGCATCCAAGAGATCATCAAGTTGTTGACTATTTACTGAAATTTGAAATATTTTAAAATACGAATTACAATCAGTACTAACCAACCCTCGTTTGGAAAAAAAAAAGTTAAAGTTAAGGAGAAAGAAAGAATAATGTATGCTATAGATAGTGAAAGGTTCTGCAGTCACTGCTCCATAGCTAGTTAGCTATCAACAGTTCCAATTTCAAATGGCTTTAATTTATCGAATTCAGATAGGTAGTGGCGGGAACCCCACTTTTGTAGCTTGACGTCCTGATTCTGGTCCACACAAAAAAGAAAAACAAGCGAAAAACTAAACAGAAGGAGAGATAATTGTAAGGAAAGTTCATCGGATTGAAATGTGGACTAGTTATCCACAGCTTTATAAACTGCGGGCACCGGGTGAAAGCCTGATATCATAAGGGCTGCGAAATTACTCGTTTCCCATTGGTCGCATGAAAAATGCTCGGTACTTTGCTCTATCTTGCATTTATGGCTTGACTAACCGAGCATTCTGCTTATCAGGGGTCCAATAAATTCCTATAAATAATGTAAATACTTGGATGCAATGATGTACAACAATACATGTAGAGCTTAAAAGTAAATATATTTAATACAGTAGAACTGGTAATTGTTGTGTTATCAAGTTAAGTAAATTCAAGATAAATCTTTCTTTGACGTTGTATACATCTTCCTATGGCAGAGTTCTTATTTTATTCCCTAATAACTGTTTCAAAACAAAAATGGTTAATTAGTTTGATAGCTTTTGTAACAGGAAGTCGGGCTGGTCCCTCTCCCTGTCTTATTTTTGCTACTAATGAATAATTTTGTTGAATATTGTCCATGACACGGCGTTTTGCGAAGTGGTTTTTTTTCGCCAATCTGTAAAGAATGAAAAACACTCTTCAGTGAAATGAAACCTAATTTAGTCCAAATGCTGGATGCTACAAATCCAATTTTTGAGGCGGAACCAGATACTAAAAGTAAATTTTGCTTATGAAAAGTACTTATGTAAGAAAAAAATTAAAGGTGTTAAAATTTGAAAATATATAAAAGGCTTATGTAGAAAAACAATTATCCTTCCTAGCTGGCCGTTTGAGGACGTTAAACCGTCAGAGGAGCAGCGAAAACGAACGGCACTGAGAACCTCGAAGGGTTCTACCAACTCCTGGCGCAGTTTTGCAGCTCTTTTCTAGCTCCAAGAACTTCCTCGAGACAGCCAGTTAGGTCTTAAGCAAAAATAAACCATTAGGCTGTGATATTTTATGCAGAATGGTTGTAAGGGAAGAGCTCGGTAAGAAGATGTATTCATAGCAGTCACTTTCGTTTAAGTTATTTATCTGTAGATGTTATTGTTACTATTGTTAATGGTTTTTAAGGTTTGGATCTCAAGTGAAAAACCTACCGCGATAGAGAATCCTGTTATTTACTGGAAGAAATACTTAACGCGATGTCTGTAAAAATGTGAGAAACTCGCCCAAACAGTACAAAAAGAACATTGCAAGACATTGTAATGTATTAATTACATTTTCATGTTTGTGATCGACAAATTGGGTTATGACACAATTTCATATTGAAAATAACAAGTATTTCAGTGTTGTAATTTCGTATTACCCGTGTATCATTTTTAGGAGTAATACACTTTATTAATCACGAGATATAAATAGTTTGAAATCGAATAGCAACGGTATTAAGTATCATTATCTCTTTGTATTTAAAATGACTTTAATAGTACAAGCCTGATCACAGGAATATGAAATCGTTCCAAGTTTACAAGTTATAAATAATCGGCTTTGTATATAAGCATAAATAAAGTAAACCTGTGTGAAACTTGAGTCTTGCTGTTCGTGGCTCAATCTCTTAGGACGGACCCTTGTCTATTTCTCCTGAGGCCAGTATTGTAGGTTTTCGGGCTTTTAAGGATAAGGATGTACTAGGTAACGGTATGGGCATAAGTATGGGAATAAGTGGAACAAAGACGTTAGGCTTCCTATACTACAGCAAACACTTCGTACCGTTCTCGCGGGTGTTCCACCGCCTCTAAACTACCCCACGGTTTTGAGGTCTGGCCAAGGCCAGAATGTTAATGTGTGCCAGATAGAAAATTTTAGGGACAGTACTTAGGAATTAAAATGAAAGTAACGATTAGTCTACCAATAATTATATATCTCATTTCTTATATTACAAGTTAACGGCACGATTAAATCATTAGGGGAAGAAAAAAGGACAAAACTTTGGGGTTAAACTAATCCAGATCAGGTCAAATGGTAAAAGGGTTGAAAGCACCCCAGTCCCGACAGATCACTTGCAGCAGAGCGCCAAGAAGTAAATGAACACTATCCGTGAAAATAGCCATTAGGAGGAGAACTCTACAAAGAAAACCTTAGCGGGAGTGATTAAAAGTTTACCACACGAGTTTTAAATTGGCAAAATGTGAAAACCAACAGGGGTAGGGCGCGTAATATGGTTCAAAATTAATAAAAAGCAAATTCACTTTACTGCTTTGTTTCTTGGGAAGAATTTAAAAGTCGAAGAATTTGAATATCGACAAAATCGAAGAATCTGCCGTTAGAGTAAACAAAGTACATCGCAAGAAGCAAAGAAATTTAAAGACGTTTGCATTTATTCATTTTGAAGAACAAGCCTTCATTAAGTCGATAAAACAATAAGATGCATTAGTCGTCCAATAGATTGGACCTCAGTGTTCAATGAGATGTGCGTGGCCCCCGAGTCAAAAGCTTTAATTTATGTGACGATAGAGCTTTTGGGTGCCTGTTTCGAGATTAACGTCAGCTTTCAACTTTTCCTCTCTGACAAAGCAAAAACAATTTCGTTTTACTTACACAATTCCGACCCAAAAACATTTTACCATAACATTATCGTTCTGTAGAAGGGCTTCACTGTTTATATTAGAGAGATTTAGCAAGAGGACGGGAACGTCAGTTGACAATGGCACGCGCAGCAAAAATACCGGTAAGAAACTGGGTCGAGAACGTCGCCCCGTTGTGTTTCAGAAGTGATTTAGCAGTCGCTGCAACCACAGGCAGCCCAAGCTCTCTTTGAGAACCACACAAGGAACACAATTTGCATATCGATTTATAAGGATTTGTATGGGATTTTCTACAAGATAGCCATAGAGATAGTTAAAAGTGAAAATATTAAACAAAAATGGCTAACCTTATTTCATACGTGTGTTGCTTGCTCCTGGTGTCGTTATTTTACCGATTTCACTTGATTTAAGCGGAAATCGGTAAAATAACGACACCAGGAGCAAGCAATACACGTATGGAATAAGGTAAGCCATTTTTATTTAATATTTTCACTTTTAACTATCTCTATGGCTATCTTGTAGAAAATCCCATACAAATCCTTATAAATCGATATGCAAATTGTGTTCCTTGTGTGGTTCTCAAAGAGAGCTTGGGCTGCCTGTGGTAAAAGTTATGTTTTAGTCCAGACCCGGTAAACTTTGCAAAACGCATTTGCTCTTCGTAGTCACTTTTAGAGACAGCTGATCTTCCGAGCTTTATTAAAATGCATTTGTTTAAGTCCTTTCTCCTCAGTTTGGGTTAAATTAGTGTAAAGCAGGGTTTTTTTATATAGGAAACAANNNNCGTTCTGATCGCGACGGGAAAACCAGCAAAGTGACGTCCTAAACTTGTTTGGGAGAACGGCAACGCTAACACCGGAAGTCGAATGGTGTCGTGTCCAGACTATTCCGCGCGCTCTCCCGTTCTGAAATGACGTTCCCGTCCTCTTGCTAAATCTCTCTAATATTGTTCACGTACGAACGTCACGTACTTCATTAAGTCAGTTGCTTACGTGCTCTGACTTGTCAACGGGTTTTGAAATCTGTGACAATTGTAATGCATACGATATAGCAATTTGCATGAGGAAAGAAAACCACTGTTTTGTTTGAATGATAACGCAGCGAATCTACGCTTTGAACTATATAGAACCTGAGCCAAATGCAGTTGACGAGTTACAGTGGCAATGTCGATGTTCCGACAGTTACAGTAGCAATGTTGACGTTCACGCGACATGCCGCCAACAAGTTAAGTTGTTGGTGGCATGTCGCGTGACTTCCACACTCAGTTAAATTTAATTTCTTAAAGCTCAAAAATCATGAAAAACATATTGCACCAAACGTATCCAATGAAATTATTAAGGGCTGCTGATTTGCAAAAACTGAGTTTGTTCTAGTCTCGTTCGAAATTTTCAGCTTTAGAATAAGGAAAACAAAATTGTTGCCATTTGTTTTTTCGTGCAAAGTCGTTCAAGTTGGCAGCCAATCAGGACCGAGATTTTAGGGGCAAGAGTAATTTTATCTAGAACAATAACACCGAGCGTCACGTGACTGACCGAGCGTTCAGATTGCACGGGTAGGGTAGGGGAGACTATCAAAACGAAGGGAGGGGTGTCTCAGGCGAGTCTTGGCAAATGCACATCTTTTATGTTATCATTAATTAATATTACGAACTTGGGAGCTCCGCTTTTGAGCTTGGCTAAATCTATATATTAGAACTAATCATAAAGCCTAGGAGAAAAATTTGACGTTGTCTGCCACAAATAACGAGGAGAGGAATCTCACTGGGGCTTTTTTCATTACGAAAAAAGAAGCTATACTTACAAAATATACAGCATCCCATGATCATCAAAAGCATTTGGTCAAGGTTCCCGTTCAACTGTTTGACACCGGCTTTAAGTTTCTCAAATTGTGTGTCGACCATTTCAAATATTAATTTAATTTTCCTTCCACAGAAAACGATAATATAGCACTAGAGCGCTTTCGGCCTTATAATTAATTAACAAATGGTAAACACCACAGCGTACACTATTGAGTTATGGATACACGCGGGAGGTTGCTAAGCACGAAAGAAGCGTAAGAGTCGCGCGAGGCGATAGCCGAGAGCGACTCTAGCTTCTTGAGTGCTTAGCAAACCTCCCAAGTTCTTGAGTGCTTAGCAAACCTCCCAAGTTCTTGAGTGCAAAGCAAACCGCCCAACTTCTTGAGTGCTTAGCAAACCTCCCAAGTGCATCCATGACTCATTATAACATAACCAAAGTAAAGCGCGCGCTCTGATTGGTCAATTTAGCGTCCCCCATTTGCCCATGGGTGTACGCTGCTGACGTGAGCAAATGCAAAGACTATTTTTCCGCGCGCGCTTGTTTTTTCTGGTCGCGTAAGATTTGTTAAATAAAAGGGAACTCT